AGAGATGCATTGATTCAATTGGTCAAAACAGCATTTGGCTCCGCCCCGTGCCAATTTTAGCCAATCCAATGCTTTCTCTATGGGAAAGCATTGGATTGGCTAAAAATCGGCAATTTTGATGACGTCACAAAGGGGTGTGGAGCCAGCGCCTGGCAGAACTGCATGGCACTGGAAATAAGGTGAGTTTTAAACTTTTATAAGGGGGCTAAGAGGGGGCAAGCCACCTAAATGGTGGGTTTAGCACTATAGGATCAGGAATAAATGTTTGCGTTCTTGACTCTATAGTGATCCTTTAACCCCTTAAGGACCAAACCTTTGGAATAAAAGGGAATCATGACATGTCATGTGTCCTTAAGGGGTTCAGTACTTGGTATAAAGAGATTCTAAAATGTATATGCAATGTGTTTTATAGGACCACTAAAGTCACTCAGGCCACTTCATCTCAATGAAATGCTCTGGATTAATTTGTTCTTTTTTCAAAAACTGGAATGTTTACATTGCAGGGTTAAATCCAACTTTAGTGACTGTCTTTCTGACTGCCACTAGAGGAGCTTCTCTGGAATGTATGGGATGCAGCAACCCCTACCTCCCCCCCCAAAAAAAGCAGTGATTCAATTCTTTCTCATAAGAAAGCTTTGATGCATATGCAGTGCTAACTGCGCATGCACATCAGGTCCCAAATGCTCCTCTATGTGGTACATTGGATTGGAACAGGTGTGGAGAAGGCCATTCTTCATTCATGTAATCGCAAGAGGGGGAAAAGTGAGCAGTGCCTTGGGTCTGGAAAATGTTAAGTAAATCCTTTATTTTAATATTTTTTGTTGCACACACTGGGTGGGTGCATAACCTATCTAACTAGGGGCACATACACTAAAACAATTGGAATACAGGTTTGCATTACAACAAGGGGACAGTGTTGAGAGAACAGTACACATACACAAAAATATGCTTAGATTTTAATGTTGCATATCTTCTTAAAATCAACCTTCCTCCCCCAAAAAATAAATGAGATATTATTTCTTAATGTTGTTAACGTCTTTGAGCCCTGGAGCAGCCAGGTTACTTACCTTTCTGACGCTCCGCTTCAAGGGAACTGCTCAGACAGTCATCCTCCCTTGGATCAGGGCCCAGCGGGCCATGTGATCACTCTCACAGAGCAAATACATGGCCACAATAGCTGGCCATTGACCTGCCTGCTGGAAAATTACAAAAAAAATATTAAAGCGGCACTGACATGTCGAACATACCTTTCCCCAATCGATTCCTCTTCTCTCCCTCTCTCAGGATCTGTTCTTCATTTCTTCCTATCTGCTTTAGTTTTCTTTAAAAAATCTTTAAAAATTAAGACAAAGTAGGGACTATTTATCTTCTGGAGGTTTCCTACGCCATGACCAGCTATGACCAGCGGAGGAGCAAAGTGTGCTTCGTTTCCGGTGGTCAGAGCAATTTTCCCACAATCCTCAGCATTCCTCTCTGTTCCCACAATGCTTCCTGTCAGTATTGCTGAACGTCCTGTCATTTAGACAGAACGCCGTCAAAACTGCCAAATTGCGTACTAACAGAATGAGAACAGTTTTGTGACTTTATTCGGATCGGAATTTCATCTTGCAGCCGCTTAGTAGATAACTCCCTAATTCCTACGGTATTGGGGAGCTATCTACCAAAAGGCTGAAAGACCTAAATTGGTCTTTCAGCCACATTTACTAATACTAAATAAAGATTACTTAGTATTAGTAAATTCAGCCCCTACTATACCACGAGTAGGGGCATGTCTAGTAAACAGTGAGCAGCCCCCAAAAAACCCTGTTAAACCCTAAAGTAAAATAAGGGGGAGTGGACCTATTGTCCTCGCCCCGGCCCCCACCCCTGCGGTGTGTGTGGGGGCCCTAAATAACAATGAGGGGGGGGACCTATTGTCCTCCCCACCCCTGCGCAGTGGGTGGGGGCCCTGCATAACAAAGAGGGGGGACCTACTGTCCTCCCCCCCCCCCCGGCCCCCACCCCAGCGAGGGGGTGGGGGCCATAAATCACAACGGGGGGAGGCCCTAAGACAAATTCCTCCCGCCCCCTTCAAAGGTGACTAGGGGTCCTCAAGCCCTAGTCACCTTTGAATGGGTGATTGCTTATTTTTTTGGTACTGTTTTATTATATTTGTTTATTGTATTTGGCGCACCATTTGTTGTTTTCTGCTTACACTAAAATAACACCAGCCCTAATCCTGAACCGAGGCACTCCCTCTTCTGGTTTCAGTACTGGCATTAACAGAGGCATTTATCAACTAACAACGTACAGAACACCCTGTACCGAGTGATTTCATAATGAGAGCAGCTCCTGCATGTTGATACTGCTAGTCACACAATGTCAGGGGAGCATTAAGGAAAACTTAAGGTCTTTTCAAACCCTGGAAGTCTCCCTCTCTAATGGGGCAACTGAGATCACTGTGGATGAATACATACTGTTCACCTTCTTTTATTTAAATAGAATTAAAGGATAGTTTCTTTCACTCTCTCTCTTTTTCTTTTTCCATTTTTTTTAAAACATTTATTTTATTAATTAAAATCTATGTCCCTACAATGTTTGAAAATATTTTTTTATATTCAAAATAGTTTGGAGGTGACAGTTGTTCTTTAAATAATGTCCTTTAAATTGAATGTCTTCGGTGAGGAAGTGTTTATGGTCGAATGTTAACATTGTATTTCCTCTGAAATTACAATGTTTTACATTTGGCTCAAAAACGAAGAAGACCTGTGCATTAAGTTGCCTTAAAGGACCACTCTAGGCACCCAGACCACTTCAGCTTAATGAGGTGGTCTGGGTGCCAGGTCCTTCTAGGGTTAACCCATTTTTTTTATAAACATAGCAGTTTCAGAGAAACTGCTATGTTTATGAATGGGTTAAGCCTTCCCCCTAATCCTCTAGTGGCTGTCTCATTGACAGCCACTAGAGGCGCTTGCGTGCTTCTCACTGTGATTTTCATAGTGAGAGCACGCAAGCGTCCATAGGAAAGCATTGTAAATGCTTTCCTATGCGACGGGCTGAATGCGCGCGCAGCTCTTGCTGCGCGTGTGCATTCAGCCCAGGAGGAGGATCGGAGGAGGAGAGAAGGAGGAGAGCTCCCCGCCCAGCGCTGGAAAAAGGTAAGTTTTTAACCCTTTCCCCCTTCCAGAGCCGGACGGGAGGGGGTCCCTGAGGGTGGGGGCACCCTCAGGGCACTATAGTGCCAGGAAAACAAGTATGTTTTCCTGGCACTATAGTGGTCCTTTAAGTTGAAGTGGTTTTTGGTGTTTAGAGTGTTCCTTTAACCCCTTAAGGACACATGACATGTCATGATTCCATTTTATTCCAGAAGCTTGGTCCTTAAGGGGTTAAAGATATGCATTTCTTTTAGAAGAATGCGTTTTTTTCTATATGTACCTCCACTAGCTTTGTTAGTCAGACAGTCAACATTTCTTTCTAAATTTTTATATAACAGGTGCACAAGGTGCTCAAGCCAGACACCTGTACTGAGAGCAAGTGACAGCAAGTAAGACTGTAAAACTGGATCTGTGCTGTTCCCAATCTCTGTCTGCCTCAGATTCCATTCCTACTCTATGAGCAACATTACACAAATCACTTGCCCTCATTACTCTCTGTGAGAATATTATTGGAGAAAGACCAGCATGGTGAAGAAAGTTAGTGCAGAACAAAAGGTGGGAGGCCGGGGTTTATCTTCATTAACTGTAGAAGCTATTTCATTTTTTAATTCTAGCAGCATTTCTTTGGGGGTGGGATGCAATTTACGTAAATGTATTGAAAACGGGGACATAGTTTCCCTTTAATCATTCTGTATGGTGCAACATTTAATGTAGAGAGTATCCTTGTTGCAGTGCTGGTCCTGAAATGGAAGCAGTTTTCGGAGCGGCTGTGCAGAGTGTAGATCTGTGTTGCTTTTTCATATTAGGAGTTTTGCCCTTTGTAACTTTTAAAACTTCACAAAAGAAGTGCAAGCAATGACCTCTTTTTACATCCCAGTAATAACATCAGTTCAACTTTGTTGGAGGCGTACTTTTAAAGCTCTGCCTTTTCTTGTATGATCTTGTGTGACATGGCTGTCCCTCTGATGGCCTATTCTTTTCACCACCAGAATAAGGCCTAATTGATTACAGCAGGGCATTTTGAAGGGGGGCTGGTCCGGAGAGCTGTGCCAGTGTTCATGAACAGCGTTTGTCAGCTTACTTTCAGCCCTCCTACTCCTCTCTGATGAATATAAGGCAGTATTCTCATTACTGCAGGTCCCAATTAACAACATAGAATGCGACCCTTAAGGTCTGCTTGGTTCCCAGAGCGATGTGGAATAAAAACCCTCAAAGAAAGCACTATGTATGTGTGTGTGTGTATATATATATATATATATATATATAGTATAATAAGATTTTTTTATTTTTTTGTGGTGCATAAGATATTACAAGCAGGCGAGAGGTGCCCCAAAAGCAGTACTCAAGCAATTTCCACGCTTAACATGTGGGGCATAAGGTTAACAGGCACATTTTTATGTAATGGTTAAGTTTAAGCTATCGATTGTAAAAGTAAATGTAAATTATAATGTAAGTTATGGTTAAGTTATATTTAGACAGTATAGCTTCAGCTGTAAATATACATTTCTGCTGTAGACAAGCTTGGTCAGAGTGCAAGTTTAGTTAGTAACAGCATGAGTAATACAGGTATGAAGCAACGTTAGCAAAGAAAAGAGGGTCAGTTCGTAGGGTCAACTGCTCGACAGAAGTGGGCCGGTTTGGGTCTTGAGCTAGGGCAGATGGTGTGAAATACCCCAGATGGCCATCTATGTGCTATGTGGCAATAGTCAGTGCTATGCTTATCAATGGGTTTGGGTGGTCAGCGAAAAACGGCAGTCCTGCCAGCCAATGTGAGTCTCTCAGGGTGAAGCTGCACAGTAAAGCAAGCAGGTGTGGGTATCTGGTTTCACAGTTACCTTAGGGTAAGTCTCCCTCCCGCGATACCGTTCAGCCCATGCCTCGTGTGGGCAGAGTGCAAGCCTGCGCCCCGCGCTGGAGGAGTGGAGTGGTGGTGAGGGTCACAGGTTCGCCTGGTGAGTGTCTTGAGGTCCCGGCAGTGGTTTGTGCAAGTCGGTGAGGCAGTGTAGCTGTTTCTGCTAGTGTAGGCTTGACCGTCCTCCCTCCCCTCGGTCCGTCTGGGCGAGCTTTGCTCCTCTTGAGTCCGTGTTGGACCGCAGCTTTTCGGCGAGGTTGCCGTTGGTGTGGAGCCTTGGGGGTCCCCTTAGCTTTGTGGGCTTCGTGCAGTCTGAGTCTGGTTGCAGCTTTGCTCCGTTTGGGTGCAGTTGGGCCGGGCCCTTTCTTATGAGTGGCCATTTTGAGAGTGAGGGGTGTCCCATCCATCTCTTTGCCCCCTCGTTTTGGCCTAAGCAGCATACCGCCAGGTGAGGCTTCCACTTGCGGGGACCACAGGAGAGCTTCCAGCTTTTTCCATAGTGCCTTGATTATGCGGTCGTACCGGAGCTCAGTTTCCTTCCTGATCAAGTACATGTTAGTGGAGCATGGTTCGGCCGCCATTTTGCAGCCCTCGTATGCGGCCTCCGGACTCTGTGGTCTTGTCGCTTGGGTCTTGTGTGATAGGTTAAGCTTGTGGGGTTGGACCGGGATGTCCCCCGCCGGTCCAAAGGGGCTCTGAGTCTGCTTCCCTCTGGTACTGGCAACAGGAGAGCGGCCGCCTCTCCCGCGTTCATCATGCCAGTGGGCCTCACCGGTGTGTACGGCGTAGGTCGGGTTGGTTGTTGCTTGGAATGCATCGTTTTGTTTGTCCCGACGTCCCCCATCGCTTGGTGGCTCTTATCTGGCGTTTGGGTGCCGTTTCAGTAGGGGTATCATGCTTTTTTAAATGCTGCTCGCAGGAGCTGTTAAGGGTTGCTGCCGCTCAGCTCTGTGGTTCCGCCCGACCCCCCATATAATAAGATTTTGTATATAAAAATATTTTATATTAAGTTCTGCATTTCATTATTTTATTACTTAAGAATTGGGCAAGAGACAATCTTCCACAATTTGAATCTGATAATGAATTGTAATGAAAATGCATGAAAAACACATACCTTTTTTTTTAAAATAAAAAAAACCAAAAACCTACCTCATATCTGAAACTAATTTTTGCAGTGAGTCACTAGGCTCTGATCTTTTTCCATTAATGTCTTCTTTAACCAGAAATTGCTGATATTGCATGCAAAGTAGTAAAGAGCTCATGATGCACTGAGTTGATTTACCTTTTAATTAAACTGAAAAATGTGCTGGAACATATTATATATCATTAAGTTGGTTCCTATAAAAATAATAATAAAATGAGGGGAATAAATCATGTGGTTTTTTTTGACAATCTTTATTTAAAGAAGTTTTTGGCAGTATTTTTTTATAGCAAGAGGTACAGAAATGATAACTGGACAGGAGGCCTACAACAGCCATAATAGTACAGTAGTGTACTAACGCACAAATTACACCAGTAGTGAGCGTAGCCGTAATAAGCCCCAGTAAAACCGGGTTGACTGCTCCTTCACATGTTTGAATTATGCGCAAGTGGACAAACTGACATTACCAGTCAGGTGCAGTGGGATGTAGGCTCACAGCCTGAGTTTGAACTGGAGAGTTCAGGAAGAGAGTAGCAGGAGGGTTGAAGAGAGGGAGTAGTCTGAAAAAGAGAGGCAAAGAGAAAGGGAGAATAAAAAAAAGTGCGGGGGGTGGGGTTGGGGGAGAGGAGTAAGGAAAGGGTAAGCCAGTTTGGATCAGGCTAGGGATGTGATTCCTGTCCTGGGTCTTTCTGGTCTAGGGGGCAAGGGGATGAAGTGATGGGTTCTGGGCAGCAGTACCCTTCTGGGAGATGTAATCCAACCAGGGCATCCAGGTGGAGATATATTTGTCAGAGTTGCCCTTAAGGTCTCCTCCAGCCTAGTCACACACTGCTGGAGCATAGGTGCACCCAGGACTTCCAATGGGTCAGTGATTTTGCAGCAGTAAGTGCTTTGTCAAGGATTTTTTGTAAGTTTTTAGAGGCATGGTGGTGTGGTGCAATAGCATTGGGGGCGGTTGTAAAGGGATATCAGAGTCTGTGATTTCCCTGATCTTATAGTGTATCAGCATCCAGTAGGGGGAGATGTCAGGGCATGACCACCACGTGTGAAGCATGGTGCCCATGGGAGATCCACAGCGCCACCATTCATCAGGGATTCCTGTGTTAATCCAGTGGAGTACGTCCGGCGTTCTATACCAGTTGGTCAGCACTTTGTAGCTCATTTCCTGGTACTTGGAGCTAATGAAGCATTTATGGGTCAAGACATATATCTTGTTCCATTCCTGGTCCATGAGCGTCACCCCAGTCTCCCTCTCCCACCTCACTGTGAACCTGGGGACCTGCATGTCTCCTCCCAGTAGTAGCATGGTGTACGGTGTTGAAATTCCCCTAGAGATATGTGACCACAAGGTGCAAAGTGTTTTAAACTGGGTGAGAGATGTAATAGCGATCTACCACACATGGAAGAGTAGTACATTTGGACTTGATGGTAACGGAATCATTGTATCACCGTCTGATTGTCCTCAGGCAGCAAGTCAAGTGAGTTTTTTTTGTGCATGCACACATTTGAACGAGAAACCGTGTGCTGCAGATTATAGCAATTTACATGATGCATGTTTCCAAATATATACTTCCTAACTTAAGGTATAAATAAGGTATTTAAGAACCTATTCAGAAATGGTTTCTGTCATTCACAATACCAGTTGGAATGTTTATAGAAAACTGGGGTTTGGCTAATAAGATTCCTATTGCTTCCTGATTGCAGTTAATGTCTCAAAAAGAGTGTCATGCAAAACCTACAAGACAGCCACCTTATTAAAACTTAATAGTATGATATTTTTATATATTCTCTATAACACTGTCTAATGCATACGTATCATCCTTGGCGTGTTGTTGATTTTAAAGGGACTCTCCAGGCAGAACTTTATACTCACCTGGTTCCAGCGCCGGGAGCCTTGTGAAGCCGCGCCCCCTGTTTCGTCAAAATGACGAAATAGGCGGGCGCGAGCAGGGAGCAATCAGACGCTTCCATTTCACCGCACATACTTCATAGGGCGACATTCATGCCGCCCTATGAAGTCCTGAGCACACTACCGCGCATGTGCTCGGCTGCGAGCTGAGCTGACTGACAGCTCAGCTCGCGGTCTTTGCCCGCCCCCTCTCCTCTGCTGAAAGGCAGGAGAGAGAAGGCGCGTACACAGTGCCTTCTCTCTCCTGCACCCGTCAGACGTATTTTAATACGTCTGAGTGACGGCCACTGGAGGTATTCCTATCAATCAATGTAAACACTGTATTTTCTCTGAAAATGCAGTGTTTACATTAGATTGCCTGCAGGGAGCTATAGATCTCACCTGAACAACTACATTAAGCTGTTGTTGTTCAGGTGACTATAGTGTCCCTTTAAAAGATTGTAGTTAATTTGTGTCAGTACTGATGATATTGATATAGTTTGTTTCTTCCATAATCATAGTTACATAGCAGAAAAGGGACTTGCATCCATCAAGTTCAACCCTCCTCACATATGTTTTTGCTTTGAACAGAAGCAATATATAAATCAAATCTATCTATCTAGGATTAATTGATATCATTTTCCCATAGCTGATATTAATTTTATGGCAAGACAGGAGGCTTTATATTTGCTTTATCTTCCTTAACTGAATCTCCCAGCAGCAAAGAAGCCGTTAACAATAATGTACAAAAAATCAAGCAGTCAGAGTTCACAACAATGTCATATCATATAGTGTCTTCAGGCTCCTCCCAACTTCTTTGTCTTTGCTGCTTGCCTCCCAGGTGAGTCTATTCCAATTATATTGCCTTTCTGGTAAATCTAATTACGATATAAAAACATATTTTTATAGCATTTTTTCACTACTACATTATTACTTTATTTTCTTTTGTCACATATTAGATTAATCCAAATAGTTTTCATATTATAGTCTTTTGCCAGTTTCTTGTATTTATCAACAGGTTTGTGCCGTTATTGCACCTTTGCCACAGTTTTCTTACTCTAAGCCCATTGGGCCATTTATTTATGACGACCCGCTTTTAGCTTTCGGCCACGGACTCTTTTCTCTAACGGAGACTGTGGCCCGATTCGCATTTTTATCCTCAAACAGCCGCGCCCTTCCGGTGTTCCCTCCTATTCGCGTCAGCTCTGACGCGCTCCTGCTCTGCCCTGTCAAGCAGACAGCGGCCATTTTCCACCTATATAGCGTTTTCCCTCCCTTTTCTCATCACAGAGCGCAATGGTCGGTACTGGGGCAATTGCAATTCCTCTTCAGATTTTGGTAAGTTTAAATCAACAAATACTTGCCTTACTATTAATCCACTGTACTAGAGCTACTTTTTTTCTAGATATTTATTATCCCTATTTGTTTTTTCCCACAGATATACAAAGCTTACATTTTTATTTTTTTTCAAGACCTGCTTATTTATTTTTCTGCTTCAATAAACTGTGAAGGGCTTTTGTGGATGACCCCCACTTATCTATTATCTCTCATTAACAATTTAGTGGGTGATCCCCACTTATCTATTTACTGCTTTAAAGTGTACCCCACCAATAATTATTGTGGCTGACCCCCACTATATAATAAATATTTAATAATACAGGTGTACTCCACCTATACTGTTTCACTATTGGTTAACCCTACTTTTTCCAATTTGTTTCGGTGTGGACATACTCCACATTACCATAACTGTGCCTGGGTGACCCCCACTTACCTATTATTATTATTTTTATTATTATTATAGTGATTTACCCCACTTTTACTTTTATTTATGGATGAATCCCACTGATTTATTCATTCTTCTGTCTGCCAATACTAATATTGGGTGAACCCCATTATTATTCAATACATTGCCTTTATCTCTTGTGATTCAATATGTCTGATAAACACTCAGAGCCTGCCATTTCCCAAGAATTGAAAGCATGGCTTTTCTCCACTATTGCGGAGTCAATTCCTGAGGTGTTGGCTGCCTTCCACGAACAAGCTTCTACCGAACCTAATCCCACTGCGCAACAACTATCTAAATTCGGAAGATTCTCATCTTTCGGATCAGGAAGGAGCCCCGTGCAAACATCCATGGAAAGGAGATAGTGCCTCTGCTGGCAAGGGGATAGCTCCTGACAAATCAGTTATATTGTCTTTGCCACATCCTACCCATGATAATTTGGACCCTCTAGAGCAGGCTTCCCCAAACTCTGGCACTCCAGATATTGCTGAACTCCAACTCCCATGATTCTCAGCCTAATCATGGGAGTAGTAAAGAAGAGCGACTTATACTCGAGTATATACAGTATCTTTGATTCCTACATGCTTTGCAAGAATTACAAGGATTAAAGCCATGCATATTTGATGTTGTACCTTTTTTGGGGATCTTTAGTGCATAACTTGCATAATATTATTATTATTTTTTTTTATTATTATTGTTTATTTTTTTCTGAGTTCCAGAGAACTGGGACCTGAAGCCAACGGCTTATTATTTGGAGACAGTTTTATGA